CTCATGATATCTGTGTTTCTCACTGGTAATGTATCCATATTTATGTTATGTACGTTTTAAAAGAAATAGCATACCTATATAGATGTAAACATAAAGTGAACAATGAATCCCCCAATGATTCCCCCACTATAACAATAATTTATACTACAATTGTGTGTACAGTCTAACATATTGCCAAGCATTTCTGTTAGGGTACAGAATAGACAGACTCTGAAAGGTTACAGAATAGACAGCCTATGCAAGGAGATGCATAGCATGGCCCATGTCTGTGTATGGTCCTGTAAGCACTGCTCTCATCCCTACACCTAGACTGGACACATCCCAGCATTTCATCTGACAAGGCTGCTAGGGATTGAGCAATGCAGAAACATTTTTCACTTAACCGATGTACATGACTGTAAGTTGAAGCCAAGCCCCCAGCACAGCTAATCTTTACCATTTCATTTCTTCAAAAGCTGTCTGGCTACATTTGGCTCCCTTACACGACAAGCAGTGCCCCAAGCCTGGAGCTGAGGATGAGGGCCACACAGAAGCCGCACCGTGTACGTCTGATAGAATAAAATATTGCAGTTGTTGGAAGCCAGAGGCTGATGAGTGTGCCTTTAGGAGAATGGAGACAAGGTGAGCTCCTCTACAGAGCAATAGGAGCCTGTCCCTAGAGCTGGGGAAATCAGAGCTCAGAGCAAAGCCATTGCCAGGTCATTGCAAAGGAGGGGGGGGGGGAAAATCCTTAAAATGACTAAACTGACTAGAGAACAATAACAGTCGAGTCTTAGGTTACAACAGACACATGCTATCCCTTTAAGGCAAAGATCCCATTCTAATTCTCTCCACGTGGAAGGAAAGGCAGCAGAAATGTAAAGGGAAAGAGGGAAAAAATGCTATAGTCACTGACCTGCACAGCTCGGCCTTGGCAGCTGCTTCGTATTTTTTTCCTCTTCCTTCTCTGATCTCTGGAAGATCTGAGGCACAAATGACAGACAGATTGCACTGGTTATGGCATTTAAGCTGAAGTGAGAAATACAAAGCTGGGGGATCTACCTCCTCCTACCCACCCAGAGATGTGACCTTCTAACTGGAGGAGAGCAGCTCCACTCTTCCGGGTTGTAAAAAGGGCAAAGCCACAAATATAATGGGAATATAAACGTGGGTCCAGGCTGTGGCAAATTACACCAAAATCGCCTCCTATAAACAGATTGATGCTGTGCTGTTAAACCATTAGAATGCCATTTGACCGCGCTCTAACAAGAGCTGTCAGTGAGGCAGCGGGAGAAGCATCGATGTTGGCATATATCCCATTCTGCCCAATGACAATCGATCTCTGTATGTACCTAGAGATGGGATGATGTCGGGGTAATTGTGTAGAATTGGACATACACAATAATTAGGACGATTTACCTGGCTGACATAAAATATAGAGCATATGATTTAAGGGTCATTGATAGTGTAGTTTTGCGAATAGATGATGGAGAGATAGATAGATAGATAGATAGATAGATAGATAGATAGATAGATAGATAGATAGATAGATAGATAGATAGATAGATAGATATTAATACCAACAGGTGACAGGTAATAATAATTATTAATATTATGCTAACAATTAAGGTCAGGGGTCACCATTCTGCCCACTGTTAATAAAAGTATTTTATTTAAATGTAGGCTTGAATACCGATTACATGCTTGTTTAATAATCATTTTAATCGTTGTTATAATATGTGACAAGGAGAAAAAGAATGCCAAGCAGCTACACAAATAAATATATGGACACATAGATAATGATATGATAGATAGATAGATAGATAGATAGATAGATAGATAGATAGATAGATAGATAGATAGATAGATAGATATATAGATAGATAGATAGATAGATAGATAGAAGGATAGACAGATGGATAGATATAGAGAGGAAGATAGATAGATAGATAGATAGATAGATAGATAGATAGATAGATAGATAGATAGACACGTTGTTGTATCATAATACCGATATCTCTTTTGTAAAAATAAATCCTAAAGGTTTTGGAATCACGGTAACGGTAATGGTTTCGCAGTAATTGAATGCAGTCTAATAGTCAGCATTATGTCTCCAGTTTTGTATCACTATAACCTATAATGAGTACATGTAGAGTAATAAAGGAAGTGGGGAAATGATGATGAAATGGTATCAAATCTACAATATAAAGAAGAGATGGCAATGGTATACCTTCAGCTTGTGCTTGCTTGTCCTCGGTCCTGTCTATATCCAAAGACTCCCCCCATAGAATAACACCGAGTTTTGACCAGAATTCGAGGTGATTTATTGCTCCGAAGCAAAGGTACAGCAGATCAAGCCCAAAGGACAGTGGAGGTTATGAGCTAGTTAGTGCTTTCTATTTAGCTTGCTGAATGACAACACATATAACAACATCCCCACCTTCAGGAGATAACGACAATTTTCTCAAATCTCTAGAAAATGTGTAACTACGCCTGACAGGCTCAGGATCACCGTGCAAATATGCATGTATTCATCCGGAGACTCACGTGGGATTCCGAGCACTTATTATTGAGTTTTGGGGTCTATTTGTTATTGGTCCAGCACACAGCAATGACAATTCACCAAACAGATGTATGATCAGCCTGGGCTTATACCACGGTGATATAGCTAGAGAAATTTAAAAAATGGAACGGGGAGATTAGAGTACTTGCATGGGGAGGACTGATGGACTCCTGAGAAGCTCACAACAACCTTTTCATGGAAGGGGGCTCAAAATGAGGAGGAAGCCAAGATATTCAGACAACTTCCAACTCATAGCCCCCCATCACATCACCTGCCTACACCCGCATCAAGGACTGCACTGTCACCGCTCATATGGCTGGCACATAATAACACAGCACCAGGCATTAAACATGCTCTCTATTCTCTATATAATAGAAATATGTCTAACAAATAAATATATGGACACATAGATAATGATATGATAGATAGATAGATAGATAGATAGATAGATAGATAGATAGATAGATAGATAGATAGATAGATAGATATATAGATAGATAGATAGATAGATAGATAGAAGGATAGACAGATGGATAGATATAGAGAGGAAGATAGATAGATAGATAGATAGATAGATAGATAGATAGATAGATAGATAGATAGACACGTTGTTGTATCATAATACCGATATCTCTTTTGTAAAAATAAATCCTAAAGGTTTTGGAATCACGGTAACGGTAATGGTTTCGCAGTAATTGAATGCAGTCTAATAGTCAGCATTATGTCTCCAGTTTTGTATCACTATAACCTATAATGAGTACATGTAGAGTAATAAAGGAAGTGGGGAAATGATGATGAAATGGTATCAAATCTACAATATAAAGAAGAGATGGCAATGGTATACCTTCAGCTTGTGCTTGCTTGTCCTCGGTCCTGTCTATATCCAAAGACTCCCCCCATAGAATAACACCGAGTTTTGACCAGAATTCGAGGTGATTTATTGCTCCGAAGCAAAGGTACAGCAGATCAAGCCCAAAGGACAGTGGAGGTTATGAGCTAGTTAGTGCTTTCTATTTAGCTTGCTGAATGACAACACATATAACAACATCCCCACCTTCAGGAGATAACGACAATTTTCTCAAATCTCTAGAAAATGTGTAACTACGCCTGACAGGCTCAGGATCACCGTGCAAATATGCATGTATTCATCCGGAGACTCACGTGGGATTCCGAGCACTTATTATTGAGTTTTGGGGTCTATTTGTTATTGGTCCAGCACACAGCAATGACAATTCACCAAACAGATGTATGATCAGCCTGGGCTTATACCACGGTGATATAGCTAGAGAAATTTAAAAAATGGAACGGGGAGATTAGAGTACTTGCATGGGGAGGACTGATGGACTCCTGAGAAGCTCACAACAACCTTTTCATGGAAGGGGGCTCAAAATGAGGAGGAAGCCAAGATATTCAGACAACTTCCAACTCATAGCCCCCCATCACATCACCTGCCTACACCCGCATCAAGGACTGCACTGTCACCGCTCATATGGCTGGCACATAATAACACAGCACCAGGCATTAAACATGCTCTCTATTCTCTATATAATAGAAATATGTCTTTTATATATGTGTGTATATGTGTGTGTGTGTGTGTGTGTATGTGTGATAAGACTAGCTATATATATACACACACACACACATACATAAACTTAGATAGAGTCAGTCAAGTCAATTTGTAAGATAAACCTTGGGTGTTGCAAAATAGTGTAGGACATTGCAGAAATCTCTTTTTACATTTTACATTCTTGCTAACATTGCCCAATGAGCAAAACAATCTGTGGTTTTGGCACCTATTATTTAGCCTTTTAGACTTTTTACAGAGCAGCTTCTCTCAGTTGCCTAGAGGCTGCAAGGAGCTGGACCACTATACAATGTTCAGTGCCTGGACACTGCACCCAATCACCTAGCATGACCGTACACATAGCAACACTATTATATTTATTATTGTCATAGTTATTATTATTATTATTATTAGTAGTAGTAGTAGTAGTAGTGATAGTAGTGGTAGTAGTACCACCGCAAGGTAAAAGTACTATGGAAACTAATAGAACATTATAATAGACTGTTAGTATATTTATAGAAAATGCTGCGAGTTCAACCGCTAGCTGGCAGATCCTCTGCAGTCATTATAGTAGTACCTTTAATAGATACAGATAGATAGACAGACAGACAGAACGATAGACAGGGAATAGATTGATAGAGAGCATAAGCATAGAAAGCTAGATAAATACTAGACTGATAATACACAAATAGAGATTGATAGATAGATAGATAGATAGATAGATAGATAGATAGATAGATAGATAGATAGATAGATCCATAAACTATATAGACATAAATAAAAAATAGATAGAAAACAGATTGATAGCGAGAAAAAGGATAAACCCATGAATAGATAGATAGATATATAGATAGATAGATAGATAGATAGATAGATAGATAGATAGATAGATAGATA